TCTATAGAAAATTTTTTTTTTGCAGACGAATTTTTGTTTATTTTTTTTTTTTTTTTTTTTTACTTCCATCTTCAAAATGGATAGAGACTGCCTGCCGAGAAAATCAGCATTCGGATTCCGGTATTGACTAGTTTCACCCCTAACTTCTGTTTTCCTTTTACCTACAAGGCGCAAGGTAAAAGATCTAAGCGGTATATATCGAACACTTTATTACATTTAACCCAGCGATCCCTTCTTCATAGTTTTATTAATCTGGCACAAGACCCTACCTGTGAAGAGTTCGCTACAATTAAACGTCTGTCTTGCTAATGATTGAGCCATGGTGGGACATCCTTTTTCTAAACTCAATCTAGACCCGTGATTCTCAAAGTATGACACACGCCCTACAGGTAGGAGACAATTTGATTTCGAGAGTGAGTTATTGATAGTGAGTTTTCTAGTAACTTTGTAGAAGTGTGTGTTCGAGTTAATACATACGGTGCATATCCTGGGTGTAACAGCAAAATTGTTCAATCGTGTAACTGCAAAATTGTCTAATTGTTACATCGAGCTTTCAACCGTTATATCTTAGAAATGATTGAAGATATCTTACTGGAATTATCCGAAGTTTTTATAACACTATTGGAATCTACCTTGAGCAATAACAATGCATAATTACTCTCCAAATTTAAATCGATCATAAACGAAAATCACAACTAGATATATATATATTATGAAACGGACAAAGTCCGAAAATTATTTTAAGACGTTTTATGTTTATACATTGTTTTTTTTTATAGATACAGATATTTAAATAAATACTCTGTTTATAATATAAATAAGCAGTATTAACAACATTTACCGGCCTGAATGTCCGAGAAATTGTCATAGAAAATATGCGTCCTCCGACAGGATTCGGACCTGTATCCTATACGGAACCGTCATATAGCCTGATGTGCTTTTACCGATTTCGCCACAGAGGAACGTTTCGGTTAGCAAGGTCGATTTTACTGTTTTTAAACTACAATTTTCCATGATTCATATCTGCTCGATGCGTATCCAAATGTAAACAAATGACGTCACACATTATCAAATTGACAAAGTCTGACCATTATTTTAAGGCATTTTTATGTTTATATATTCTTTTTTTTTATAGATACAAATATTTAAGTAAATGCTCTGTTTATGATAATGGCGAAATTGGTAAAATCACGTCAGGCTATATGACGGTTCCATACAGGATACAGGTTCGATTCCTGTCGAAGGACGCATATTTTCTATAACAATTTCTCGAACATTTAGTCCGGTAAATGTTGTTAATACTGCTTATATATATATATATATTCTAGGATCATCCAAGATGATTTTTCGCTCTCTAACCTTCTGTCCTGGAGATGCGTCACAGGTTTCACATACGATTTTATTTTTAAGTGTTTTTTCACTGCTCTTTGGACTGTCATGACCGAAACTTTTCTCACACAAGCGAAACGTCTTATGGATTGAGTTGGATCTTTTCTAATTGATCTCTTTAGCACTAAGTTGAAATGATATTCCCTCTTCCTGTTGTCACTTCCTGATCCAGTTTTTTATCTACTGTTCCATCTTTTTTAAACTTATTCGCCGTACTCTTGATGGTTGTTGAATGAACATTGAGGAATGGAAGCCAGAGTATGAATGTTGGTACCATTACTGAAGGCCTGAATGATCTTTTTCCTCTCGCCATTGCTCAGTTGGGAAGACATAGTTTTAACCTGAAGCTGAATAAGTAAAAGACTCAATTAGTTTAATAGGTTTTTTAAATATGTAACATTTTGTGGGATTACCAGTTATGCTGTTACATGAATTGGACAATTTTTCTGTTACACCCGGTACAGGATGCATACATAAAAATGTTTGTGTGTGTATGTATGTACATGGGTAATTATGCATGTACTGTGTCAATATTAAGTATTGTAATAAAAATAAAAATATATTTTAAAACTCTCCCTTCCCTCTCTAAACTCGACCATGTCTCTCACACTATTCCTCACCACCCTCTATGTCAACTTATATAAGCTTAATACTGCCCGTCAAAAGCGTAAATTTTAAATTCATTTTTCGTTTCACCTTTGAAAGTGAAGTCTGAAGATCCAGAGAAAAATAAAATTTTCTGGTGAAATAAATTATAACAAATGAAGACTTAAAGTCGTCTGTTTTTTTTTTAAATTAAATTATTCGCTCTGACTTAATATTGAGCTCTCAGGATTTCATCCTCCTTGGGATTATCCATACGGATTACCAAGATTTTCGTTACTTCATAACACAATATTTTTATAAATATTGTAAAATTCTAAAATTAAATGAAAATATACAATCTCAAGTTCTTGAGAAAAGTTAAACCAATTGCCTTTTAGGCTTCATCACGTGAATAGGAGTTCGCTTTTTGAATAATAACAATTATATGTCGTAGTGCGTGGTCATAAGGACTTTAGATATGCTTAGGGGGGGTCATACCCCCTCTCAAAAAATGGTTGAGCAATATTAATCTATACTGAAACAAGACTACACTCATGGGGCAATTGGTGTACATCGAACTCACTAGTAAAATCTACACGGGTCTTTCTACGATACATGGGTTAGTGTGGTACAAGGCTACATGTGTGCAGTTCTCTGATGTAGTCTGGCCATCGTATTGATTCATTCTGATCCCCTGACATCGCCTCATCGTCTTCAATTCGATGCTTTAACCACTGGGATATCGTTTATAATTTTATTGTTAATGTGCAAAAGAATTCTGGTATGTGGGCAGTTATGGAAGCGGGAAGCTCTACCGTTATAACTATTCAGGCCACGTAAGTTGTGGTGCGTCTGCTCCCAAGAGTCTGTCAAAAATAAATTTGCCATGCACCAAACGATCTTTCACTTGGACGGCATCGTAGTCTCGTCCGTAGACAAAAATCTCCTTGAAGTCAGCACCGAAAAAGAAAACACACAAAAAAATTACTTGAATTATGAAATCTCGACTCGTGCGTAAATCTGCCAGCCCTCTCTTTGTTTAAAATTACTTACATAAAAAAAAGCAGGAAGTCTTGATGAACAATAATCGCCCACATCCAGAAAGGATACGATACATAAAAGAATATATAAAACAAAGTCGTAACAGTGTATTCAAAACGGCTTAATGTTACACATGGTCACATGACAGCAAGGCATGTAATCTTGTCACACAACTCTCACTTTTTTTCTTTAATCTTCCGGTATGGCAGTGAATGCTAGACAATTTGCACACAAATAGAGAGGACCACTTGAGGCAACAAATAGATCGATGCTAAGAAAACTATTGACAAATCATGTGATCAACGAGGAAGTTTTAAGAAAAATGAAAACAAAAGTAGAGATATACGGAGAATTATAAAAAAAAAACGTTGAAGTTTCTGGGACACATAATGAGAAAAGACGGATTAGAGAATTCGACACTCGCAGGACTTATTAAAGGCAAGGTAGACACCGGGAAAAGGCGAGTAACCTACCTAAAGAGCTTGGATAAATGGGTGGCAGAACAAGAACCGGGAAAGAAAACAAATAGTGTATCTCTCTGGGTGCTCTAAAAACGTGGCCATGAGCCAAGTATAAGTTACTCACATAGACTGATAAAAGGAATGTTTAGGAGTAAATCTAGCACTGATAAACTCTATTCAAAGATCTGTCCAAAACCAACAATCTGTATATAAGATCTTGGGTGATTTTTGTAGAAGTTTTTTTTTTTTCAATGCGTCTTATATGTCAGGAAATTCTGTGCTGAATTTCCTAAATCTCTAAGATTGATTAATTCCTAAGTGTCTCACTGGGTTGTGGTAGGTGACGAAACTAATTTCAACTCGGAACCTCAAAATGGTAATTTACAGTTCAGGCCCCGCGCTAAGTTTCTAATAAAAAATTTCCTGAATAGTTCCATTTAGGTGTAAATGTTTTCTGATGCCAAGGAACACACGTTTCATTTTTGTGATGCTAACGAATATTCGTTGTCACTTTCGTAAATGTTCGTTGTAGTAGAGACTTTGTAATCGCAGATACAACTATAGTAACACCGTTGAACAATACTGGTGTCAGACGCCTTCGAGTAACACTCGCACTAATAGTACTCATACTCGCTCGAATTATGATACGAAAAGAGAAATAGTATAATGAATTCTTACTAACTACTCTTATTACAGACACCATAATACCTCAAGTCTCTATGAAGTTCTAACTAGTTCCCATATATCCCACATATACTCGTGGGAGTGGGGAATGAAAAGTTTAGGTAACATAGAAGTGAGTAATATTTATTTTGTTAAGATACAAAATTGAGGCACAAGGCCAAAAGATGGTGTGTGAAAGGCTCGCCTTATTCTGTCTCATAATTAAACCTAGCTAGCCGCAATTATAGGCCCAAACATACGACTGTATTCCTTACATCAAAACAATACATTCTTAAGTAACATTCTTACTGCAGCCACCATAATACCTCAGAGTCTCTATGAAGTCCTAACTAGTCCTCATATGTGTACAGTTGACTCGATAAAAGCCAAGTCAGCCTTCTCCGACTCGATATTCTAGCCGTATTTATACTGGCCCGAGGACTACCGGTGTTCTCCAATTGGCGTCCTCGTGTCAACGGTCTTCCTGTATCTCTACAATATGTACAATATTTTGTCTGTGAGGAGTGAATGAAAAAGAGTAATTTAAAAAAAAATGTAACCCCAATATATAATTACAATATATTTCAATATATATTTACAAGAAACAAAATAAAGGAGAGTTCATCTGAACAATCACCAAAGAGATGTTACATTACAGCAGTGTGAAAGTGTCTGAAACCGAGGTGCTGGTTTAGGACCAATAACATTATGTGTTTAAAATGAATTTGATATGTGGAAGATAAATTCTTTCAAATCGGAACGCTGGCTTGTGGCATTTTTTTTCTTTTTTTTACGGGTAGCGGGGATAACGTTATCCAATTTTTTCGTATCAGGCAAGATTAATCAGTACAGTCAGATTCCATGCGTAGCATGTCAGGTAAGTGAGACAGTAATATTTGGTTTCCGTCGTTGTAAATAGCATCAAAAGCCTTTGGAATTTTTACATGACGGATCAAATGTAAAACCGAATTATTGCTCTACACTGCTTCGGTCAATTTGACTTCCTTTCATTTTTGGATAATGAGTATATTTCTCGGTAGATAAAAGTCGTGCAAGAAATCAAACTCCCACACCACCCACAAAACAACGAAGATGAATATTTAAACCGTGCGTGTCTCCAAGTAATAGAATTTCAAAGGGGGAAACGTCAATTTAAACAGTACTGAAAGCGAACGTGAGCTTGAAGTGTAATCATATAAAGCAAATTGACCGTAGTTGGGATCATTGAGCTAATACAAAAGATCCTTTGCTTAGCTGCGTAGTATTTTCTTCGCCAGGGCTACACACAGTTTTCGTTCACCTCGACCGGTTTCCACTTAAGGCTGTAGAACCCAGTCAGTCCTTATATTGACCTATATTTGGCGGGTGAAGAGTTGGGTTCATACCTTTTCCTAAGAGTGTTACATCTATTAAGTCTTCCTTCTCCTAGATCGGTTGCCACTCATGGCTATAGAACCCAGTCTGTCGTACTATTTACCAATATTAGGATTCATACCTTTCCCAATTGTATTAGCACGTAAGTGAAAGTAATGATCTTGACTGGAATTCGAACTCGGCACTCCTATTCCTCAACCCGAGCGATAATCCATGATGCTAAAGATTATAAAATAGAATTTAACAAATCATCGGGAATCCAAACTTAGCTTCAGATATTTAACAGATAGTGATGACAAAACCGTATTTTCGTAGTTAAAATATTTTTTTTTATTATTTCAAACGTTATTTTTAGTTAATACCCGTATATGAGTATATTTTTTAATCGGTGTTTATTACGCCTACCTTCCTGCGCACTGGCGAAAAATTAAGCAAAAACCTGACCTCCGGTAGGATTCGAACATGCGTTTCCCTTTGCAAAAAAAAAAAACAATATCTGACCCTGCGTGCTTTGACCACTCGGCTACGGGTAGCTTCATAGTCGAACTAAGTTTTTTTGAGCCTTAATGCCTTCGTATAGATTGTATCGAAATCTTCCCTATCTGCTCAGTTTTGTATCCGAAACGTAAAAAAAGAAATTTCTTAAGAACTGGTGGGTTTTAATTTTTAATCAGAGATATTTTTATTACTTTAAACGATATATTTTGTCGATAACCGTATTTAAGCAGACGTTCTGTTTTTTAAACAGTGATTATTTCGTCTTGTGCACTCGTTTGCAGTTTATTTATCTCTCTATGTCCGACTCTCTCTCTCTCTCTCTCTCTCTTTTTCAATCTTATCTATCTATCTATCTATCTATCTATCTATCTATCTATCTATCTATCTATCCTTCTGTGTTTTTTTATCTATCTACCTGTTTGACTGTCTGCCTATCTATCGATCTATCTATCTAACCCCTCTCTCTCTCTCTCTCTCTCTCTCTCTATCTATCTATCTATCTATCTATCTATCTGTGCGTTTATCTGTCTATCTCAGTCAATTCATATCTATCTATCTATCTATATCTATCTATCTATCTATCTATCTATCTATTCATATCTATCTATCTATCTATCTATCTATCTCAGTCTATTCATATCTATTTATCTATCTGTGTGTCTATATATCTATCCTACTGAATGTCTACCGATCTGTCTATCGCTATCTATCTATATATATATATATATATATATATATATATATATATATATATATATATATATCTTGCCTTCTATATATTAATCTATCCCTCTATGGGTCTACCTATCTATCTATCGCCGTCTATCTCGCCTTCAATCTATCTAGCTATCTAGCTAGCTATGTATCTTTCTCTTTTTCTTTCTATATATCTATCTAACCTTCTGTCTGTCTGTATATCTCGCCTTCTATCTATCTGTCTTTCTTGTATATCTATCTACCCTTCCCTTTGTCTATCTCTCTATCTTTCTTTTTGTATATAAACCTGCCCTTCTCTGTCTTTCTATCTATATATCTAGCTCGCTATCTCTCCTCCTGTCTGTCCGTCTATCTATTTCTCCTCCTGTCTCTGCACGAGATCTTTTGATCCTGTTCCACTGGCTGACGCATGTGCTTAGCAGAAAGCGAAACATACAAAAGAAAATACTATAAAGTCTAATTGTACCATATTGCGGTTCCATCTGCCCACTGAACTTGGTTCGACACTACGAACAAAAAGGAACCACAGATTACCAAATTCAAATAAAAACTTCTATGACCTACGATGTGCGTCAGTGGCTTGCCCTTTTTTTTCTTCTTCTTTTAAGTTTCGCCTGCCGAAGCAACTTAAAAAGAATACATTTGAAATTGTTCTAAAAACAATGAAATGTTAAAAAATCAGTTGGGTTCCTTTCCAGTGGGCGGGGTCATCGTTACGGCACGTCAATCAATTGTTTTGATAATCTGTTCACTAAAGATTCAGTAATTGGAA